CCCTCTACCGGCACCTTCATCTGCTTAAATGAACATACCCATACCCTTAACTTCTCCATCAACTCCTCCCACTTCCTACAGACTAAGGAAGTGGCAATGGGAACCCACATGGGCCCAAGTGATGCCTGCCTCTTCGTAGGATATATGGAACAGTCCCTCTTCCGCAGCTACACTGGCACCATCTCCCACCTCTTCCTCCACTACATTGACTGACTGTATCGGTGCTGCCTTGTGCTCCCAGAAGGAGCTTGAACAGTTCATCAACTTTACTAATACCTTTCACCCCAACCTCAAATTCACCTGGACCATCTCCAATACCTCCCTCTCCTTCCTGGACCTCTGTTTCAATCTCCGATGACCGCCTCATAACTAAAATCTATTTCATGGCCACCGACTCCCACAGCTACTTAGACTACACCTCCTCTCCCTCACCTTCCTTCAAGAATGTGATCCCCTACTCCCAATTCCTCCACCTCCGCCACACCTGCTCCCAAGATTGGGTGCTCCATTCCCAAACATCCAAGATGTCCTCCTACTTCAAGGAGTGCAAAGTCCCCCCTCCGGTGATTGAAAATGCCTTCAAACGCATCTCGTTTTCCCACATCACCTCCCCCAACAAAAACAAAAATAAAGATAGGATCCCCCTGGTCCCCACATATCCCCCCTCCAACCTCCGCATCCAGCGTTATCATTCTCCACCACTTCTGGCGCCTACAATCTGACCCCACAACCAAAGATATATTTCCCTCCCCACCCCTTTCTGCCTTTTGTACGGACCACTCTCTCCGCGACTCCTTCGTCTGCTCCACATTCCCACTAGCAGGAAGTGCTCCACCTGCCCCTACAAATCCCCCCACCCCCACCTCCATTCAACGCAAAAAAACAAATGTTCCACATCAGGCAGGGGTTCACCTGCACATCCATCAACTTGGTCTGCTGCTCCCGATGTCTACATTGGTGAAACCAAGCGGAGACTGGGAGACTATTTTGTGCAGCATCTATGCAACAGACACCACCATCTTCCAGTGCTGAAACAGGTCAACTCCTCCTCCCACTCCCTAGGTGACATGCCCATCCTGGGCCTCCTCCAGTGTCACAATGACACCACCCACAAACTGGAGTACCACCTCATATTCCACCTCAGGAGCCTACAGCCCAATGGCCTAAACCTGGATTTTACCAGTTTCAAAACCTCCCCACTCCCAGCCTCATTCCATGACTAACCCCCACTCTTATCCCCACCTCCTTGACCTGACAACCTGTCCATCTTCTCTCCCACCTATCCGCCACTCCAACCTCACTGACCAATCCTGACCACTACCTACATGCACTCACCTATCACCATTCCACCTACCTTCCCCAGCCCCAACCCTCCTCTCAATTTATTTCTGAGCTTCCTTCCCCCTTCCTGTTTCTGAAGGAGGGTCCCGACCTAAAATGTCCTCTGATGCTGCCTGGCCTACTGCGTCCCTCCAGCTCCACAGTGTCATATCTGGTTCACTAATGTACTTTAGGGAAGGAAACTACCATCCTTACCTGGTCCAACCTACATGCAACTCCAGACCCACAGAAATGTGGCTGACTCTTAACTGCCCTCTGGGTAATTAGGGACGGGTAATAAATGCTAGCCTAACCAGCGACGCTTTCATCCTGTGAAGGATGAAAAATCAACACCCTCCAGAGCAAAGAGAAAACAAAGAGACTTGGCCATCGTTGGCATAAATGAGAAAGGGGCCATGGAAGCTTCTGTAATGCTTTGGATTGTTTCTATTGAAGTCATGCATGCCTATGGTATAAGGTACAACCAATCCCCCAGGTTGCAAACGGGTTCGGTTCTGGAGTTCGTTCACAATTTGGAACACAATACAGGAAAACCGAAAGCCTGCAGCACCCCCTATTCTACTGTAGGCTTCCAACGTACTACAAAACAAGAAAAAGCATCAGCAGCCAAGACTCTGTATCTAACAGCCATTAATAGGAATGCTTTTTCTGGCTTATTTAGATTAACAAAAAGAATCGAACTACTCTACACAAAATGATAAAACCATTACTTCAAATGAAATAGCTAGATTGAAGTTGGATCGTACTTCTCAAAACGAAATGGAAACCTTAAACATTTTGCCAAGAATTGAGATTAATACAGATGGTGTCCTTTGCATTTGTTGTATTCAAGTGCCAATTTGCCTCTACCCAACTGATTCGAAAAAAATTTCACTATCTTCCATCAGACATAGATGCTGGAGTCAGAGATAACACAGTGTGGAGCTGGAGGAACACAGCAGGCAAGGCAGCATCAGAGGAGCAGGAAAGTTGACGTT